CCTATTTTTTCCCACCCTCTCATCATAGAGACAGTGTCATTTAATCATAGACTTTAAGGCCAGAAGGGACTATTCTGATCATTCTAGTCTGACCTCCTGCACATCGCAGGCCACAGATCCTCACCCACCCACACCTGTAATAGACCCATAACCTCTGGATGACTTACTGAAGACCTTAAATCACGATTTAGAGACTTAAAATTACAGAGACTCTGCCATTTACTCTAGTTCAAACTAGCACATGATCTGTGCCCTCATGCTGTAGAGGAATGACAAAAAAAAAAAAAAAAAAAACAAGGTCCCTGACAATCTGATCTGGAGGAAAATTCCTTCCCTAGCCCAAATATAGTGATCAGTTAGACCCTGAGCATGTTAGTAAGATCCATCGGCTAGACACCTGGGAAAGAATTCACTATAGTAACAGAGCCCTCCCCATCTAGCATCCCTCTCCAACTGTTGGGGATATTTGCTACTAGCAGTCACAGATGGGCCACATGCCACTGTAAGCAATCTTATCATACTATAGCCACCATAAACTTATCGAGTTCTATTATCATTGTTGTCAAGCAAACCTCAGTACCACTGAAAACTCTACGCGTAGGATCACCTAGGTGGCAAGTAGGATTTAATAACTATGCAGAGTGGATTAATTAACATCACAATGGTGAGCTGTGGTCCATATGAAATGGACACTCTGGAGGGGTTTTATAGGGGAGCTTCATAGACAGCAGTGTTTCTTTGGGTTCATGAAGGAGAAATATTAACATGGTAAAAACCAAGCTATATTATTTTCTCCTGGGAATATAGTCCAGCCCATTCTCTCACACCCTTTGATAAAATATGTTTGGGATTGTTCACTGTAACGCCCAACCAGAAAGGTATGGCCAATACAGTGATGCAACCCTACCACCATTTTCTCAGACAGAGAGAACTCAGAACTCCTTTAGTTTCTTTACAAGACATGCAGGGCAGCACCTCTGGAGAAGTCCTAGCAGATGAAACAGCATTTTGGGCCTTGACACAGATGAGTTCACCAACCAACCCTCTTCTGTTCCTGCCTTTTCCTAACTACTCCAGCCCGCCAAAAAGAGATTCACTACAATAATCAACAGGAGTTTGCAGATTTAGGAATATTAGAAGGTTTCTGCCTTTCACCAGCGCAGGAGTCCCTACGGAGAGTTCCTCTCCTTTGCTAACAGATTGGCGGGGCTGGGTAGAAATCAATGGCTTAACCTGCTGCAGCTTCTGCAGGCTGCTTCCTGTTCTCGGACAGTGCGTGGGCCACTTATCTTGCCCATTTGGAGTTCTTCCACATGAGGCTAATTAGTTTTCGGCCTCCTCTGGGTTCCTCGAGACGGGGCTGATTATGGCTGATTCACCAGTATGTGTGGTGGTGTTTTTTTTTAATTTTTTCCCAATCTTAGCCTTTCCCATTGATCATACCTAGAAGAAAAGCTTTGCTGCTAAGCAACCACAGGGTTCCTGTGAGTGTAAGGAATAGCAGCTTTCCCTACAGTTCTCAAATCTGACAAGCAGCTTAACCTTGTAATAACAACGCCGTAGCCGTGTTCTCCTACCTCATTAATGAAGGGCGAGGCTTTCGATGTTGCCCGAGTTCTGAAAGAGTGTCACCCTCAGAACATAGCGGGGTTTGTGGGGAGCTTAAAGTGCTGACTTCACACCCTAGCGAAGCAAGTTTCTCCGTCTCCAGCAGAATGCGGGAAAATGGGGATCGGGATTGATGGGGGGTTTCCTGGACGCTGAACAAACTTGGAGCTTGGACTGGGGAAATACAAGAACTCTCTGTTAGGAAAAGCGGAGAAGCTCTGATGTCACCTGGCGATGCAGCTGCACAAAAATAAGTCGTTATAGAAAAGCCCCATCCTCTGCCCTACAGCATGGAGCTCATTTAGATTGATGGTCCAGTGCCATGTCAAGGCTCCCAACAGCAGGATATAACTAATGTGTGTTTGTTAAAGTTTTAACCCTGAAGCAATAGCATAGGTAGCAGTTTTCAGCAAAGAGCAAACACAATTTGCCACGCGTAAGCTTCAGGACCCTGGATAGCAGCTTTGCTATTGCTAGCACCATTCCGAGCTGCCTAGATTCCTTTACTCTGGTTGCTCCCCCACGGCCTTTGTATTCGCCTTTCACTTGTTTCCTTTTCGTGGCATTATTCCCCATTTCTCTTTCCTTATCATTGTACCAGTGTTGGCCGCCCATGAGGTATAAGTGTGGGTGTCTTAGTACACTCAATTCTAGAACAAGAATGAGGCTGACTTCTTCGGATGGTTTTGCAAAGTTTATTATTGTGCAAAGTTTATCATTTCTTGATATCTTTAGCTATCGGGGGTGGGGGGAGGTATCTTACAAAACTTCAGTCAGGAAAATGCAGCATTAATTATATTGTAAGCTCTATGTCTGCTCCTGTGTGTTTGTCCAGTGCCTCGCACAGGGGACTGATGCTGAAGGGGGCCTGTAGCGCAAAGAAAACAATGGTAATTAATAACTAGAATCAAACTTAAGAAAAAGGCGAGGCCATATTTCAAAGTGCCAGACATGTAAAGGACATGAAACTCCTTCATTTAGCCGTAAATACAATGAAAACCAAAGGAAGGAAACCTCCTCTGCTTGCAATTCCTCGGACTGTTCCTGGAGGGTTGTAGCAGCTTGTTGCACCATCCGAAGCACGGCTTGGGATGGTGTGTCCTATCTCACCTAGAATTCTCCCCCCAAAGCCGGACACTTGGAGTCGGGGAAAAGGCAGCGGCGGCTGAGGACTGAGCCGCCTGAAATTCTACAAGAGTGGGAGTTAAGATACCAACGATCCGGCGCCCTCCAGTGTCTCAGCGTTGGAGATGTGAGGTTGCAATGAAGTAACAAAGTGGAGAAGCGGGGTGTTTGCCCCTTCAAATAAGTAAACTGCCTTGGGGGTGGGGGCAGAATTAAACCGAAATCGTCTGACTTGGAGCTTGTCTGTTCGGATGCGGCTGGTTGACCCCGTTAGTAATGTTTGTTTTGTTTCTCTCTCTCTCTCTCCCCCCTCCCACCCTGCTCTAGCCTGCAAAGGCTTCCAGGCCCCTCTCTCTGCTTCCAGGCTTTTCTCTCTTCCCTAACTCCTTCTTTCGCCCTTGGCTTTCAGCTCCCAGGCTCTGCCGTAACTTTGCTAATACCCTTCTTCCAGCTCTGCCAGCTGCCCCTCTGTCAAACATCAGCCCCTTCCCAATAGGGACTCTGGTCTCCTGGGGGCAGGCCGCAGCCCCCGGCCAGCTGTGTGCGTTACTAGAAGGCCGCTTGGCCGGGCCCGCGTTACACAGCTGCGTCTTCTGGGAACACCTGAGGTGCCAAAAATGCAAAGAAGCCGCGTTCAGGAAACACGGAACTTTCCCAAATCCGTTCAGTGCTGTGAGTACCACTTCCTCAGACAGGCTCCCCTCCCTCTCTTCCTCCTCCTCCTCCTCGGGATGCCTTATTGAATAGGGAGACCTTTGTCTACATCTAGAGAAACCCCTGGCTGGCAGCTAATTTTAACGAGATTTAACACTACGATCCTGGCTGTAATTGGTAGATTGAGGTGTGGGGGTGTGGGGAGAGGGAATGGCATAAATATTCAAGGGTAAGAGCGATGACAGCTTAAATCCTTCAACGCCCCTTGCTGGCGAATGGCAGAAGCAGGGCTGTTCTGGTCTATGGGGCTGGCGTAGGCAGCGTTCCCCATAGGTCTGTGTTGGTGAGTACAGACATGAAGCTGTTTACGATGGTGCTTTCCTGACAGTATCTTGCTTCCTGTGCCAATGAAAACGGAAAGAGAGCTGTCATAATTAGCAGGGCTGTTTGTGATCTCTCTCTTTCTCTCTCTGTAACCAGGGAGCCCTGATTCTAGCTCCTGAGAAGTCGGAGGAAGTGACGTGAATGTTATTTATGTATCAGATCAATTTCAGTTCCAGGGAAATGTTGCGTCGTCCTCCTAACTCCTGCCCCGACAGAGTGGTCACAAAGTAGCAACAAATTTGCAAGTCCTGAGCAGCCCGTTGCAGAAGGCGCTCCACGGAGTGCCTTTAAATCTGTGTCCTGTTGACGGGAGTGTGGTTTCCTTCGGAACGGTGTCTGAATGCAATGTGTACGTACCTATGTTTCCCTGAGATAAATACAGTATAGAGCAGGAAAGATCCATTGATCTCCACATTGGTGCATGGTTTACCGGTTGCCATTTATGCACAACACTTTTGCACATTCAGGCATAAACCTTCCTTTAGATCCGATTTATTTCAAGCTTCCTGCTACGCCGTAATTTATTCGAGTAGAGGCGTTTTGACATACAACAAAACAAGGAAACCAGATAAGGGGGAAACACGTCCCTGCAATTACCTAAAAGCGCCAATCCCTATCCGTATAAAGACGATCCAGATTTAAGGGAGCCTATTAAAATGAAACCCAAATATGGAACACACAACCTTCTCCTCCCTGTGCAGCCCCTCCCTCCTGCCCCCAATACACCCTCTTGTTTATCCCAGAATATCTCCTCCCCGGGGAGGAACAGAAGTTGGATCCATGGAACTCTCCACCCCCTTCCCCTTCCCAGTCTGTTGACACAATGTGTTTGTTGTAGATGTGGCCCCAGATGTAGACTGCCCGAGATTCACACAAACGCGTTTGTGTCACCATCTGGGAACTGATTGGGTTTAGGGGAAGGGGAAGGTCGCCTGCCAAGGCAAGGTGTTGTGCGGGAACTGAGCGAGGTAGAGAAGCTGTTTCCAGAGGCGCCTGCTGTCAGCCTCTGGCATTCACGGTTCATTTCTCATTTACCTCGGTCTAGTCCCTTCCCCCCTTCCTGTCCTGGGCTGTTGCTGTTCCCCACCCATAACAAGAGCACGGGAAGGCCGGCTGGACGCATATCCCGGGCATTCTGGTGGTGGCTGAAGGGGTGGGGGAGATCAAGCCAGTGGAATATACAGTAAAATAAGCATCCTATAAAAGCTAGGGACGCATGCGCATGGCTGGCGAGCCGCCGTCCCTGGGTGAGGAGCCCACTGCTAACGGATGTGATCAAGGCAAAGATTTCCATCTGGCTCCCGGGACTGATGGTGAAATTGTAAGTACTCTCCAGCCCTACAGTGCTGAGCCTGGACTGCCCAGCGGCTCGGCACGTGGGGAAGCGCCTGGGGCTTTGCCTTTGCCTGGCTGGGTTTGTAAAGTGTATTTTGGGGCATGAGAATAACGATCGGCTGTTTCCTGGTCTGGGGGACCGAGAGGCGCTTCTGGATGGCACTCGCTGTCCCTAAACCCGGGGGAGGGAGGGTGTTTCTTTGGATTACTCCCCACCCCCCATTGTAGTTTGGGGGGTTTCCACGCGTTTCTTCCATTGTGTGCCCTGGGAAGCCTCCTTCGGTTAAAGAGCAGGATCCCTCGCTGCGGCAGATCGTTGCATTGTCCCTGGCAGGCAGAGGGGGATCCGGGGGTGTTTACACGCAGAGCACAGGTGCGGCGCTGGCTCAGGTGTGATCTCACGCGGCGGCGAGGGCCGGGGGAAGGGGCTTGGCAGCCGGCATGGAAGCAAGGGCTGCCCTGGTTCCAGGGGCTAGACCTAGCGGGCAAGGGGAGCTCGCTTCAGCCTCTGCAGGTGGCGGTGGGTGGCTGCACTGGCCGGGGTGTGAGGGCCAGGGGCCGTGTCCGCGTCCGCCCCCCGCCGGGCTGGCCTGGGGCGCGGAGCCAGTAGCGCCGTGCCTAGGGCAGCGGGCTGCAAGTTCGCTGCGGGGAGGCGGGCGGGGGTCACCCGGCCGCTTTCCACAGGCGAGGGGCGCAAGGCGCCTCCTTTGGGCAGCCCTCCCTCGGCGGCGGGGGAGGGAGCCGCTGGGGAGCAGGAGGCCGCTGCACCCCGGAGCCCGTTTGCTGCGAGACCAGCGGCACCTAGGAAGGCTCCCGCCTAGTGCAGGCGCTGCCCGTCCAGGGGCCGCCTCGGCTGCTCCCTGCGCCGGGAGTGCAGGGAAACTCCCCCCTGGCGCAGCCCGGGAGAGGGGATGGTCCCTCCGGTTGCGGAGGTGCCCCAGGCGGGACCCAGAGCGCGGCGAAGGGGACTCCGAGAGCGCAGCCCCGCCAGGTGCCTTGGGCCGGGGCCCCACCCGCCCGCAGGGAGGGGCTGCGCCCCCGGCGAGCTCTAGGAGGGAGGCGAGCCCCGCGGCGGGAGCGGTGCGCCGCGCGCTCTGTCTGGCGCTTTGCCCGCCCGCCGTTCCGGCGCGGAGCTGGAAGCCGCCGAGCCGGGGCAGCCCCGCGCCGCCTAACGCAGCCTTTGCCTGCCAACGCGCTCCTCTTGGTGCCGAGCGCCAGGCGGCGCCGTTTGGCTCTGCAAAACAGCCAGGGAAGGAGGCTCCTGGACGATCCACTAAACCCCGTGTCTGTAGCTGAGGTAAGGGGGGCGGGGGTCACCCCACGCGGTGCTGTTTTTCCTTGAGTTTTCTAGGAATGAGGGAACTGGTTGAATTACACCTAGAGAGTCCTACAAAGCCCAGAGTGTCCTTAGCCTCCTCTCTCCAGCAGTAGTGCCATGGAGTTCAGTGAAAGTCACTAGGATCTCTGCCCCGGAAGGACAGCAGGACTGGCCCATTACCTACGTGCCCACCCACTGCCCGAGCCCCAGACTAACGCCGTTCTTACTAGGGATGTCACAAAACAATCTAGTAATAAAGTAAACATTTGCACCAGGGCGAACAAGTGTTTCCATGTTTCCACCCACAGACCCTTTAAATGAGGTACACATTCTGTGGGCAAGAAAAAAAGACCTTTTCCTGAGATCGGTCATTTCTATGGCATTAAACAGAGGGGAACGGGTAATTAAAATTAGACAACTGCAGAAGTTAAATATGATTATCTTTGCACATGCCAGTAGAAATTACAGTAATTTAATATAGAGGTAATTTCATCTATACAGTCACTCCATTATTTCATTTTTGTTGTTGCAAAAAATGCATGACAAAAGTGTATGCTAGATGGTCATTTCTACAACTCAAAGACATTTAGGCTACTTGCAGATCACTCACTTTTCTGTTCCCATTGTATCCACAACATGCTACCACTGGCTTCAGGAATCAGTAGGGCTAAATGCTGCTAGTGTCAATACACTACATTATTACTATACAGTATGATGGAAACCAGTACACAGTACAGTGCACCACCAATATGTTATGATGGGAGTCAATTTAAAATTAAGAATGAGGTTGTGTTTCTCAACTCAGAATGAAATCCCAACTGAAAAGCATGTTCAAGCCTCCTGGATAGTTTGATGAAAACCATATAGCTATACTACCCTCAAATATTATAACATACTACAGAAATAAGATATGGATCCTATATGCATCCAAAGAAGTGGGCAGTAGCCCACGAAAGCTTATGCTCTAATAAATTTGTTAGTCTCTAAGGTGCCACAAGTACTCCTGTTCTTGATATGGACAATCTTATTTATCCTTCATTCTACTTACCCATATCAATATTTATGTGCATATTACCACTTGTATTTAAATCATTTGCATGGAAGCACTACTTTTTCCTAAGGGTGTAGTTTCACTTCAGAAATGTTATTTCACACACACATACTCTTGAAGCAAATGGTCTAAATTTTCAGAAATAACTAGTGATTTTGAGTGCCTCTGTTTTTGGCTGCCCAACTTGAAACACATTAAATGGAGTCTAATTTTCAGAGCATGGAATGTTCAGCACATCTGAAAATCAAGCCTCTTTAAGATAGCTCAAGATGGACAGCCAAAAATTGAAACAGCTGAAAAATCACTAGATGCTTCTGAAAATTCATGCCAACCTTTCAGGCACTAAGGAAATTTTATCCTCTGGAAGCAGTGCTTCTGAAAATTATGGCTGAAATATGGTAGTACTAATGGATAAGCAAAGTCACAGTTATCAAAATACTCTATCCAAGGATTGGAGGACCCTAAATTTCTATTTAGGGGCTGGATTTTGAACTCTTTGAAGAGTTATCAGCCATTTATTTGTATGAAGTCTACAAGCTATCACTTGATTTATTTTCTTGTATTACACAAACAGCAGTTCTGATCTCACATCAGGTTTACACTGGTAACTTAGTGGACTTCAGTGATGTTACTCCTGTATTTCACTGGTGCAAGCGAGCTTAGACTCAGGCTTTCTGTGTCCAATGTAGCTATATATATGCAGGGATTTTACAGTATGGTCAGATTCCAGTATGGTACAATCTGAAGTGGATTGCAATGATTGGATCCAATAGGGAATGCTGTGTGAATCAGTATTTAATGCACTACAAGATGAGTCACTGTGATGCAAACCAGCTTTCAGACCAGTACAGTGTCAGTCAGTTCCTAACACAGTTCAATGAGTCAGATCCAAGCATCTAGTATAATATATGACTCACTGACTAAAACAGCACCATGTGATTCCAATACCCAGTATGAGCTGTCAAAGCTTCTGTGTGAAATGAGTCAGTTCATAGTACAGTAGAATGGGATTTTTTGGAGGCCATTCATAATTAAGCATGATGTGACTGAGCGCTCAGTAGGATATGGTATGATGGAAGTCAGCAGAGTATATCAGGTTGAATAGTAATCTACTGTGTGCAAGAGTTCCATCGTTTGTATAGTAAAGTGACTTGTAAAATATCAAACTGAATGAACATTTTTTAGCCAACTGTATTAAAAAAAAATTGAGGCAAATGTTTTCATTGGATATGAAAGCCAGAAGTAGTAGAATTGGCAAATTTCTATATTCTCTGTATTTGGGGTTATTGGTTCCTTGCTGTTTTACATGTCACATGGTAGATCCTCAGCTATTGTAAATTGTCAGAGCTCCATTAAAGTCAATTCCAGTTGTCACATGAGATAAGTCAATGGAGCTATGACAATTTATACCAGCTGAGGATCTGCCCTGTGGTGTATAATAGGGAGCTGACTATGACTGACGCTGCTCTGGTATTGTGAAGGGGCATTGAAGAGGGAGTAAATTATGAAATTACTCTAAAGCCCCTTTGCACTGCCAGAACAGTCTAAAGTAGCCTTAATGTTAAATGAGAATCAGGCCATAGGTATTTATCACCTACATTATCCATGGGTGTATCTGTGTATGTTATTTTTTCTATATGCACAATCTATTTAAGATTCTATCTCCAAAGGCGATCATAATTTCTATTCATTCTAGCTGAACTGGCACATAGATGCCAAGGTTATGTGTGTTAGAATTACATACTTTCACTGAGGTCTCATGCAATGTGTGGGGCATCCTCTCAAAAAAGAAACACTGAGCCATGGAGAAAAACCTGGTCTACATAGGATAACATGTTTCTTAGAAAGAATGGCAGGTTTTATGTAGAGGACAGTTTCAGTGAGAGGATTGTTATGAGGATATCAGGCTGATCGTGCAAGGTGCTGAATGCCTCCTGTAATGAAAGCATATCACACTCAGACCCTTGCAGGTTCAGACCCTAAACTGTAAGTGAAATGAGCTGTGTACAGTTCCCTGTTACTGTGTGGGTGTGTTACATTTCTAAGTGTTCTCTTTGAAATGTAAAGCAATGCTTTAATCTGTATAGATGAACAGAGCTCTTCATAGTGGCTGCTACTCTGAAAATATAAGCCACAGATGAAGGCAACCAACCTAGTTTCTCTCCATCTATAAATCATTTTATATAATACTTCTGAGTTTCCTCTGAATCCCACATGGAGGGAGACTGCTTTCTTTTGTAATCACACTTACTGCTCTTCTATTGGTCACTGATCCAATTCTATTCCAACACCCTCTTTGATGCAGCATCCTAGGTGGCTGCTAATATCACCTATACAGAAAGCTGATCTTGTTTTCTTCCATTCCCACCACCTCAAGGCACCTAATTTTCACTGCCGTGCGCCATAATTCATTGTACAAGAACAGAAGTCCCAAGTTTTTCCCAACTCTAGTTCATCAAAGTGACTCAAGGTGTGTGTGTGTGTTTATTAACATAAATGATAACTACTCTCAATTTAAAACATTGCCCTTTTTGATGCAGAAAGCTTATTTGTCACATTAATCAATGGAGAGGAAGTAGAGTCAACGTCAAGCTTTCTAAGGGCCCAGTCCTGCTCC